AAAAAAGGAAGTCAAAGATCTAGCTTACTTATGAATACAGATAGAAAAATATTGAACAAAAGTTTAGTAAATTAAACCTACTGATATATAAAAAAGATATTACATCGTGACTATATTCCAGAAATGTAAACTTGATTTAACATTCAAAAATCAATATAGTACACTATATTAATATAGACTAAAGAAAATCATATAATTATCTCAGTAAATGTAGGGGAAAATTTTGACAAGACTCAAAATCTATTTTTTATAACAATTCTCAGCAAAGTAAGGCAAACATCATTACTTAATGGTAAATTATTACAGGCTTCTCTCTGAGTTCAGAAACAAAACAAAGATGCCCACACTCACTACTATCATCAATGCTGTACTGGAGACCCAAGCTAGTACAATAAGCTTAGCAAAAACGAGGCAAGAAATTGAAAAAGAAAAAATAAAATTGGCATTATTTGCAGACTACCTTATTATATACATTAATAATTCAAAAGAATCCATATAAAAGCTATTAAAATTAATAAATAATTTAACAGTGTGACTCTTTACAAGGTTAAAGTATAGAAATCACTTGTATATGCTAGTAACAAATAATTAAAAAATAAAAATAAATTTTAATGCCATTATAGTGTAGCAAAAAATAAAAGTCTTGGAATAAAACTAACATAAAATGTACAAGACCTCTAACAAAAAGGTATAAAACATTAGTGAGAGAAAATTTAAAGGCCCTAAATAAAAAGATGGATATACCAAATTCATGGATTGGAAGACTCAGTCTCATTAAGTTGTTAATACTTTTCAAATTAATTTACAGGCTAAATGCAACCCCATTCAATACCTCAGCAGACTTTTTTTTTTTTTTTTTTTTTTTTGCCAACCTTCTAAAATTTGCATATATAAAGTACAATCTGATGTTTTGCAGTATGCATACATTGTGAAAAGACTAAATCCAGCTAATTAACATATGCATCTCTCACATACTTTTCATTAATTTACAAGAACACTTGAAAGCTACTGTTTTGGAAATTTTCAAGAATGCAGCACATTGTTATTAACTGCAGTCTCCCTGTTGTATAATAGATCTCTTGAACTTATTTTTCCTGTGTAACTGAAATTTCATGTCTTTTGACCAAGGTCTCCAAATTCTTCCCTCCCCTCCATACCAACCCCAGGTAACTACCATAGAACTCTCTACTCCAAGGAGTTTGACTTTTTACAAAATCCACATATAAGTGAGTTCATGCAGTATTTATCTTTTCATGTCAGGCTTACGTCACTAAACTTAATGTTTAGCCATGTTGTCCCATATTACAGAATTTCTTTCTTTTTTAAGGCTAGATAATAGAAAATTTAAAGGCTCTAAATTTAAAGGCCCCACTTCTCTTTTCTCTATTACATTCAGCTGTTGATAAACACTTAGGTTGATTACATATCTTGGTTATCGTAAATAACACTGCAATGAACACGAGTGTGTAGATATCTCTTCAACATACTGATTTCTTTTCCTTTGGATATAGCCTCAGTAGTGGAATTGCTGTGTCACATGGTTGTCCAATTTTTAATTTTTTGAGGAACCTCAATACTATTTTTCATAATGACTGTACTAATTTACATTCCCATCAACAAGAATTTCCTTTCCTTCATATCCTTGCCAACATCTGTTATCTATTGGCTGTTTGTATGTTTTCTTTTGAAAAATGAATATTCAGGTGCTTTGCTCAGTTTTCAATTGGGTCATTTTCTTGTTATTCAGTGGTTTGAGTTCCTTTTACATTTTGGATAGTAACGTTTTCAGTATATGTGATTTGAAAATATTTTTTTATGTTCCGTAGGTATTTCATCATCTATTCACTGTTTCCTCTGCCAGGTTTTTTTTTAGTTAGATGTAATTCCATTTGTCAACTTTGGCTTTTGTTGGTTGCTTCCCTCTCTTGCATAAGCTAATTTCTCTGTGCAGAAGCCCTTTCCCTTAACTATTCCCATGTAGCTCCAAGTCATTCCTCAAAACTCGACTTGGAGGGAACCAGCAGTTAGCGTAATGGCTATGTCACTGGACTCCCACATAGTTGACTGCAGTTTGCGTCCAGACACGGTGGCTTAAAACCCATGCCGGGCACGTGTGCATGCATGCCCAAGATCTGAGAGGAGAATGGAGGAGAAGGGATTGCGGCGTGGTCATCCCCCTGGGGGGTGATTTCTCACTTTCTGTCTCTCTGTCTCTCTCTGTCTGTCTGGAGAGCGCACGGGCCCTATAGTGAAAAACCTCTAAAAAAAAACCCAAAAAACAAAAAACTTGGCTTGGAGACCATTAACTATAGAATGCGTTCTTGACTCATATCCAAATTTAGGATATCCCATAGCACATGTTTAAGTGCTCAGTTATTTATTTATTCCATTACTCAGTAAAATATTATATTAAACTCCTAAAACAATACCAGGAAGTACCCATTCCTATAGGGCCTCCTGGTCTAATAGGGCTAATAGCCACACAAGTAGACCTTGGCCTTGAGTATCTGCCCCACTTTTGGCTGTTGAAATTCTATTTATCTTTCAAAATCCAGAACATCATTCTGCTTCCTGATCATCTTACTTTAAACTCATGTCTTCTAAATTTTTAAAATAATTATTTATTTAATATTTATTTATTTATTCATTCATTTATTTTTTAATTTGACCAGAGAGAGACAGAAGGTGAGAGTGAGAGAAAGAGGAAGTGAGAAAGCAAGCCACCAGATTCAGGACTTAAACCCCGGTCAACCATGTGGGAATGTCCAGCGCCTTAACCACCACACCACCGGCTGGTTCCAAAATTCATGTCTTCTAAATTCTAACAGCACCAACTGTACTTCTAATTTGATACTTATCATCTCCTGCCTTACATTATTAGCTATGTCTTCTTGAATATATATATATATATTCCTAACAGAACTGACAACTCTAAACTATAGCCAGGTTCCCCTGCAAGCCTGGGGCTGTTAATTAAAATTCTCTGGTTCAATTTTTAACACTAATAACAACTAGGCTTAATAAATATGTGTTAATGAGTTAAATGTTTTATGCATTAAGCTCAAGCTATAGATTTCAGTGTGAAAGAGATCTAAAAATATGGGTCACATAAAAGGATATTCATTGCTGCCGTACTTATGACAAAAAATAAAAAATAATAAAGTATCTATCAAGGGCGTAATGGATAAAATGAAATATCTTATATTTATATATAGAAACACTCTACTGAATGAAAATAATGAACTAAATCTGTGTGCATCAATGCAGATAAGTCTAAAAACATGATAATCAATGAAAAGAGTAAGTTTAAGAGCTAAAACTTACCACATAGGTAAAATTTGAAAACAGATTAAATAATACATTCTGTTCCTGAATTCATGAATAAAAATTAGCTAAAAAAAAAAGTGAATCAAATCTAAGTTGAAGGTTGAACACATTCAAACTTTTTTCTAAAATTTTTATTTTATAAAATGAAGTAAGCACCTCAGCATGGGAATATGAGTACCTATCGTATTTTTAAAATCTTTTCTATATTTTAAAAGATTCTCAAAATGAAGAGAAACAAACAAAAAGATATACCATTTGGTCCAGCCCTCTGTTCTCTGGCTGGCAAGCTATTATTCTTTCTATTGTGTAAATATAAAGGTCAAGGGAGAATAGAGGGCCTGAAGCTATACTGAGGCTAGGGCACAGTCGGGGAATTGCTGATCAAAGTTCACTAATTCCTTTAAGTCAGCTAGTTTTCTTAGTGATTTTCCTTATTTTATTGTCAGCAAAGCAAGAAGGGGGAAAAAAAGGGAAAGGAAAAAGACCTTTTTTGTTGCCTGGTTACTATTAAATGAGATTACTAAATGCTGTGTTTCAGCCTCTTATACAGAGACATCTCATTCTTTGTACTTCTTCTGGATTGATTCTGTTTTCAGCAACTGACTACATGTGTCTTAGACATAGTATAAAATAATAATAATAATGGTTACCCATTTTTAATAGCTTATTATGTGACAGGCAGCATGCCAAACACTTTATATTCAGCTTTTGTATTATTATGGATACTTTCGGCTACAACTATAAAATTCAAGGAGAGTGAAACAACAAAGAAGGCCTTAGATCACATAACCTGGAGTCCAGAGACTGGCGACTTTCAGGACTGATTCATGCAAAGTTTCAGCAGCGTTAGTCAAGTCCCATGGTTCCTTCTCTTTCTGTACTAATCTCCAAGGGGTATTAGAAGAATGTCACAGAGTCAGGATAGGAGAGATCTATCCAATATGTATCCAACGTGTCCAGTAGGAGACACCCAAAGTAGCCCAGGCCTGCCCATCACAGAAGAGGATTGGGTTATGATCAGCTGCTTAGAGTTTTCAACATAGGGGAATAATGGAGACACTATGCTCCCCCTCACAAATATTTCTCTTTAATCCTCTCAATGCTCCTATGATTTAAATACTTTTATGATCTATGTTTTACAGACGAGAAAATAAGAGACTGAAAGGTTAGGTGATTTAACCAAGATCACAGGCTGGTAAATTCCAGGTTCTCTACAACCATATCACACTGCCTTCCAGGTGCCATGCACTGTGTGTTTAACTGTAACTCACTATACTCCTGGGTGGGGAACTGAGAAGTCACCCCATGGCCTACTTCAACCCTGAGGTAATAGATGACTGCCAGTCAATTCCAGGCTTCCAACTTCCCGAAGTTGACTCAGGAGCCAACTTCAGCTCCTGAGTCCCCTTTTTCTTCTCACCACACCGTATTTTCTGGGCTGGGGCCTCCTTTCTCTGTAAAATAAGCTGTGAGTGGTGGGTAGACTCACCAGTGCCCTGACTATCTGCCATGTTTGGGAAGTTAATGCCCAAAGGGATTTTACTGTTGCTACTCTTCTTTGAAACAAATTATAGGCATAAATAAAGGCTAAGAACAATATTCACAAACTTGGGATATTTATAAGGTACCAAATCTAACAACTCTCTTAGTCATCAAGCTGGGTCTCTTCCCAGGAAGTAGCCCTGAGGAACTGCACCACTGAAATAGTGGGAAGCTTCCTGAAGCTTGTGTCTCCCAGTCTTGGCGGTACATCTCAGAGCTCCTCGACAAGGTCATTGTCTCAAGGCAATGTCCTCAAAGCACTCATCTGATGTCTTTTTCAACTTTATCAGCCTGAGCAAATGTGCATAGAAACAGGCAAATGGTACCAACCAGTGGCACAGTGGTTAAAGCAACTGAACCCCACATGGCTGACTGCACAGCTCAAGTCCCAGACCCACTGGCTTAGAAAACATGCCAGGTGAGTGTATATGAAGCCCAAAATCCCTAGAGGAGAATAGGTTGCAGTATGACCAGGTGTTTCTCTCTCTCTCTCTCTCTCTCTCTCTGTCTCTTCTTCTTCTTTGTGGTGAGCACATGTGCCCTATAGCAAATGTTTTAAAAAGGAAAAGAAAATAAATGTGCAGATTAATCATCTGCTAAATGGGTCTTGTTAAAATGCAGACACTGGTTCAGTAGGTCTAGGGTAGGGTTCGAGATTTTTTAATCTCTCATAAGCTCTCAGGTGATACTGCTGAGGCTGACCCACAGGCCATACTGAGACTGGCAGGTGTGTGACAACGTGAATGCTAGCTGTAGTCAGTCCCTCCATTGTGAACACCACTGTGTGGATAGCTTATGATCAGGAATTGGCATGTTCTCCTGGGAGTCCAGTGGGTTAAAAAGGCCATCCATTCTAGGCTGACCTGATGTTTGGTTTTCACAGGCTGCCAGAGATGAGTAATCCTCCTATTTCCTCAAAGCCTCAAGAGACCAGTTCCAAAGGGTGGTAGCTAGAGGAAGACAGATTTCCTCTCAATATGAAGGCTAGCTCTAACAGCAGAGAGCTTCCCCGGGGCAGGTATGACTAAGTAGAGCCATGAAGATGCTTGCCAAGAAGCTGCAGGAGAGACAGCCTGAGGGAAGAGGAGATTGGACCAGCAGTTAAGGTCCTCCTCCAGCCCTGAGAGTCTATAAACCATCATTCAAAGATAGGATCCTGATCAGAAAACAGGGATGACTCAGAAGTTTCCTGCCTTCTCAACAGCTTCCCATTCAGCCAAATTTTTCAAAGTGATTTGGTGTAAGACCCAGCTTGTCATTCTAGTTCTGTTTGTCTTGCATTTGTATTGCTCTTCCTAAATAAAGGCCTGCCTCTTCCTTCTTTCAAGGGTCACAGTGGGTTGACATCATCAATGCTACAGCAGAAGAGAGAGTGCAGTTTCAATGTGAGAAGAAAAATATTGACAGGTTTGTACAAGAGGCATAATTAACTCCATGCTCTGGTGAGCTGCCAGCACATCTTCCCTCCTTCCAACCTTCTTGCTCTTCCATAAGTCTTAAAAATCCTGCTTCAGCCTTGAAAGGGAAAAATAAAACACAGTTTGGCTCTGAGAAAATATCTTAATCATAAGTAATTTAAATTTAGTATCATTAAAAGATAACCCAGCACAGATGCTGTGGGTAATAAGCCATTTTCTACTGACGCCAGTCCTCATACCATTCATCCTGTCTTTCTGAAAGTCCAGTTTTCTCAAATGTTTTCTGTCTCAGCAGAGGTCAAATATGAGAAGTCAGAGAGCGCAGAAATAAAAAAAGAACATCTAAGCCTCTGCAATAGAGGCAGGGGTGGGGGGCCTCAGTAGGAAAAGCAATGCAAATACTGGAGTGTAAGTAAAGCATGAAAGAAACTGCATTGCTTGTAATCAAGAGCAAGCTCTGAAACCTGTCTGTCCCTTTTAGATGCTTCACAGTATTTTTAATTCACCAGTGACAGAAGAGCTTGGTTAGAAGGGACATCTTTCATCTCTGATCCTCTCCCTGACAACTAAAATAGGGTGAGCACATTTGCATAACAGAAGAAAGGGACAGATTGCCACTCCAGAAGGACCCGCAGGACACCTGTCAGAAATATTAAAAAGCAGGATAATCTCACAAAATGCGAAATGCTTTATGTACTGATCTGGAGCTAGATGATGGGAAGGCTACAATGGAAAGAATTAAAATGTAGGCTATGTCCCATCTACAAACCCTCCTCTTAGGAGTGACTTGGAAACCACTCAGCATCCTGACACCCTCTTTCTGTGCCCTGTGTCAGCCCCCTGCTCCCATTGACAATACCGCTGGACCTCTAGCTCCTCTCTTTTTTTCTTCTTAGTTTATCTATTTAATTCTTCAGAAAGAGAAAGAGAGAGACACACACCTATCAGGGTTCTCATGTTGTGATTTGTCCCCAGCCTGAGCCACCAGGATCACAGACCCAGCATGCTCAGGGAGACCTTGGGAGGCAAACCCAGGACCTTCTCATGTGGCTTCAGCATGGCAGAGCACTCTGTTACCACTGGGCCAACACAGCTGGCCTGGGCTGCTACCTCTTCTTCCCTAGGACAGAAAATGATCAAGTTACTAGAGCTCAGGAGCTATTTTCTTGGCTCCTTCACTGCTTGAACTGGAACACTTCACCCTCCACCCCTCACCACATTCCTTCATCCATCCCACCGGCACCACCTTCAGTAGGGGCATTCTTCCTGTTGATAGGGCTCTGGGAGATGTGTTCCTGTTTTCAGATTATATTCAGACCACATAAAAACATTACAATCTTCAGTAGAAATGACTGAAAGAG